GCAAAGTACAAAGTGAAAGATAACCCCGTGGACCTGGCCCGGGCCCTTTCCTGACAAAGGGTCTTACCTGGTAAAACAAGATTTTGCACAGATTGTCGCTCACTAAAGAAGATCTTTCTCTACTCCAGAAATTTCGTTTCCTTTAAGTTTCGTATTCCGCTTAGCAACACATTGAATTGGGGTTTACTCCGAACCGAACCGAACCATCCAGCCATCAAACTTTTATCCACTCAACCTCATTCTATGCCTGGCGAAAATATATTAAAAATTCACGACTTTTTCCTTTGGCGTCCGATTTACACGCGCACCAACCACATCCCTCCAGATCCGGACACGTTAAGGCCTCATGAAGAACTGAGCAACTGAAGCCGGAAAGCATTCAAGCCATTTGATAAGGCTGCTCCTCCTGTGGAGCCTCCTGGAGAAGAGGAACATCAAAAGCCATTTGCATGCACACTCACAGGCCCTTTTATATCTACCTAAAAACATAGAGATATCTCTACATATATACGACTATGTACAGTGAATCTGTATCTGTATTCAATTTGATATATAGGTCACAAGCTGTCGACTCTCCGCTGCAATGGCAACGGCAAAGTCGGGAAAAGGCAGGCACATACGAGTATGTAACTTCGTTGCACTCGTTTTTTCTGCTTTCGGAAAACGATTCCTTTCGCGAGCACCCGGAACAGCTGTTGGGGTTCACAGCCAACTTTAACAGCTATGTAGGTATGTATGTAGCTAACAGCTACAGCTATGTTAAAGTTTCAACTGTTGGAATGTTGGGATAGGTTGAATAAAACTTCCATTTGATAGAAGCGTATCTTCAATGAAAATCTCTCAGAAAATTATTTCAAAAAGAAAACTAATCGAATAAATCAAACAAAGATATAATATATTTATCTTTAGGCTCTTGTATACGATTTGCAGTCTCGTGATAAGCTTTAACATTTCACAAATATGTACGTACATACATACATATGTACATATTTATGTATGTATTTATGTATGCACAAATTTTTTACCTAAACTTTGAACTTTTTCGCTGCTGGCAATTAATTCTCTCTGCTGCTGCTCTTGGAGCTAGGTCAACAGTTTGTACCCTCATACATACATATATGCATACATATGTATGTACATATGTACATATGTGTATACCCTTATGTGCATAGGAATGTATCCTTTGAGGGGGAGAGTGGGGTGTGGTGACTCCAAAGCTCTGACAAATGTCTGACTCTGCCTTTTGGGCAGCAGGGAGTCGGGAGTCCCCACTCGAGGGACCTGCTGTAAATTGCTGGAGCTGCCATTTGTGCTGATAAGCGAAAATGATGATGTAATTGAAAATTTCAATTAAACGAATTGCCAATCCTTTGGGGTACGGTACGGAGAAACAATGCAAAACGAATCAATTTAGAAGAGTACATTTTTGATGGGCAGGAGGGAAATCCCAACAATTGAATGAAGATTTGAGTTTCGTCCTCTCTTCATCGATAGCTCTATCCTAATTACTTTTTAATTATTATTATTATTTATTTAATGAAATGCTCCACTACTCTGCATCCAATCATTGATTACGAATTAGAAACTCGTTAAAAATCAAACCAAACTTTTGTCCCAGGGCCCAAAGAGTAGACACTAAATCACAGGCTTTAAACTTAATCACGCTTTAATGATAAGCAATCCCAAGACCCAGAGTCAGACCCAGACGCACAGAAACACCCAAAAACCAAAACCAAAAAAAAAATACATATATATTAACAATCAGGTTGCATTTTAATTATAGAGTAAATATACGAATACGAACTAATAAATAGGCAGACGACGATGCGGCGCGGTGCCGACAACAGGGTACGGGGCGCCGTCAATTTTCTAGAGATCTAGAGATAGGGGGGAACCGAATCCGAAAGGAGGAATATGGTCCCAATAGATAGAACATCTCAGCTGGACATGGCCCAGGGTCTGGGCCACAAATAGAGTGGGAAATAGATAAAAGAAATCGCCCCCTGCGGCATTTCCGTTCTTGTTCATTCAGGAAAAAATCAACAGGCAGGCAGGCAGGCAGAGCGTGCAAAAGCGAAGCTGAAACATGGCCAGAAAGAGAGGCACTCGACAGAGAAAGGGAAGGGACACACACATCTTTGGAGAAACAAAAGAAATCCAAGCGAGGGCGACTAATCCACGGACACAGACACAGACACGGACACACAGCAAGTGCAGTGCATTTTCCAGTCTGGCAGAGACGAAGCCGGCTCTGCCTGTGCGTGTGAAAAATGAAAATGGTTAAAATAGCAGGTAAGTTAATAAGCGACGAGGCACTGCACCGCACTGCACTGCCGCAGCACAAAAGCATTTTCACTAAATACCCGGCATTGTTTCAATGGATCCGCTGCTGTCGCTGTCGCTCCTGACAAAGAAAACAAAAAATGTTAAACCATGAAAAGAGAAGCAGCAACCTGTCGAAAAGACAGGGGGGGGGTTCTACACTGTGCTATAGACTGGACGACAATAATTGCACAAGTGTCACTTCCCTTGTACCGAGTTGTAGCGATGTATTTTTGGTGGTGGAACGTACAAACAGGTAAGCAAGCGACAGACCCAAAACTGGGCCCATCATATGGGTGGGCCCACAAGTGGAAGCAGCAACAGCGGCAACAGCAGCAGATGGCCCAAAGAGAGCGGGAGAGCCAAGTTTTTATGGTCGATTATGAAAGAGCCCGAGAGTTAAACCAGAAATTATTATGAAATAATACGAGCCGGGTGTACATACATGTAATAAGATACAAGGTGTTGCTCTACTCCATTAAAGGAGTAGAGGCGAGTCTCTGGAGACAGATCTGCAAGGCACAATAAGCTTTTAATTCTTTTACCGAGTTGCCACATTCGAAAATTGCAGCTGGCAATGCTGCGGAATAGCTAGGATCATCACCTTCCAATAGTGGAAAGGAGTGTCCCCAGATCCAAAATATAAAGTTTCTTCCTCAATAATCACAAAATGTATAAGGGCAACACTGTTCCACTGTTACCACATCCAAAAATTATAGCTGGCAGTTCTGTGTAGCTGCACTAAAAAAATGAAGAAAATGTACCAAAAAGTCTACGGAAAATGAAATGTTTCTTCTATGTAATTCTGATTACCTCAACAGGGGGTCAACAAACAAAAACGAAAGAAAAACCAGACCCGACTCCACTCTACTCCACTCAGACTCCGACTCCAAACGTGCCCCAAACAGGCATTGCCAACACTTTCAACTCGAAAAAGTAAAGAAAAAAAAAAAAATAAAAAACAAATAAAGACCAAAAACAACTGCAAGCAAGACAAATGGCCATAAAAAATGAAAATTGCAACTTTGGAAATTATGCGGCAAACAAGTTTCAAGTTTTTGTTCAGCGGCTGCGTTGCGGCGCCAATTTTCCATGGGGTTGTACTATGTGGCGGAAAAGCTACCAGGGCACCCTTTTTCTTTGGTTTTTCTTTAGTTTTTCCCCAGCTGCAGCCACTACCTCGAGCTACGAGTACGAGTATTATTTGTATCATTAAGAGCTGCCGCGCCGCTGCTTCCGTCTTGGGAGCGAGCGAACGAAATGAAATTCACATAAATTCGACGCACGAGGCGCGCAAAAACAATAAGATGGGAAAAGCATAAACAAAACAGAAGCACAGCAAGAAACAGTGAAACAGCAGCGGAAAACGTCTGAGAAAGGGAGGCAAGGAAGGAAAGGAATTGATTTTCATGGAAAAAAGCATTTTTCTTGGGGGGAAATGCTTTGGTTTGGTTTGGATAATTGTGTAATGTCCCCAAAGCGTTGCCTGCCAGTCCCCAGTCCCACACACAACTTTTCTCTCGTTCGCCAACTGTCGCTTCGGGGCGATTTATTGTCGTTTGCTGTGGGTGGCACTGCTGTGTGCAGTGTGTACACACCCAAAAGCTGCTTGAGGTTTGAGGTTCGGTTGGGCGATGAGGAGCGTGTGTGTAACCCTAGCCCTTTCGAGGGGCCTCTGCCTTTCTCCCATCTATGTACTTGTAGTACTCTTACGAGATACAATCCAATCCAATCCAACTATCGCCCTTGCCGGCTGTTGCGAAAGTTCAGCAGCCACTCGAAAAGCAAATGAAGCATGAAGCCTGAAATATTAGCCAAGTGGAGTAGGATGAATGGAGGGGATGGATTTCGCACAAAAAATGCGTTGCGTCGCGTCGCCCTGTCGCACAACTAGGCAACCCTGACGACCGACCGACACGGGACTGGGGTTGCATTCCGCAAATGCAATCAAATCAACTTTCCAATGATGGATATTTTTTTCTCTTTCGATTATAATTTAGCCATTTTTTCATCATCTCTTTCGGCATTACCTTATTAGACGCAAAAACCTGTTGCACTCGACGATGACGATGATGACGATATCAAATAAATGAGCAGGCGCCTAAATGCTGCTAACGTCTGAATGCAGGTGGAGAGGATGAATGGGTCTATTGGCATGCAAAGTGAAAATTATCAAACGGAAAAAATACAACAAGTAGGAGGCCTTACTTTAAATATATGTACATATGTACATTTGTACAAATATTGATCAATTTTAGCCAGAGAAAAACCGAACAGAAATAATCAAACCAGGATGAATTCAATGGAAGGGAATGCACGGCAGTGGATCAAAGCTCTTAATTTGAGGAAACAAAGGTCACTATTTTTTACCACAAAGCGAATAGAGGACATGTTGGTGGAAACAACCCAGCATGCACCCAAAGTGGAGGAGGTGGACAACGTTGGACTCTATGCGGTGGGCATAATGGCTGTATTCGTAGCAATATTCTGCTTGATATGTTACTTTATCAATAAAGGATGATTCTCACCCAAGTAGTCTACCTAATTTTGTTTTATGCTCTGCGAAATAATTCCTTATCTGCCTTTGCAAATATCTTCTCAAAAACATCATACCCTCTGCAACTGTATGAAAATCCCAAGCTGCTCTGCTTGAACAGTTAAAGAGTTACTTTACTCACCGTAAAAATCAAAGTTGTCAATTTTTCCTTGTCAATGCTTCCGCCGTAGCTGCACACAGTTAGTTGGTTTGTTTAAAAAAAATATTAAAATTATAAAACACGCATTAACAGAATCCCAATTGTTGTTGCTGCTTTTTTTTTGGCTATTTTGGAATACAAACGAAACGAAAAGCATTAGAAATTTCTATACACAAACACACACACACACTGAGACGTCAGAGGAGCAACACGTACACACAGCATCCAACCCACTAACACACACACACAGACGACATGAAAACGTGTTTGTTTGTGTAAAACGCTTAGAACTGTTGTTGTTGCCCCGTTTTATGACTTTTGTTGTAGTTTTGGTAAACTGGTATTAGACACGAACGATCAGTAGAGAGGAAAAATCTTCATTTCCACGATATTATTCACTTGAAAATGGATGGTATTTCTCTCGGCTGGTTTTCAATTTCCATTCGCGAAAATTAATACAAAACGGTACTCGCACAACATCCACACACTCATACACGCCCTCACACACACCCCACACACTCATACAGCATATAGAGAAAGAGAGAGACGAACTAGACCGCGGCACAGAAGCACAGGTGCCATTTATTAACAAATTATCAATTATAATTTCACACGTATTCTGCTTGTGCAGGAAGCCAACAACATGAGTCGACGACCAACGCGTTCAAATTTTTTGTTAACTTTACCCCGCAGTGTGCCAACCAAAACAAGCGCGAGAAAATATTATTACTTTATTTATTCGACGCGCGCAACACGTTCGCGCAGTTCAAGAGAAAATTGTTTTTGAATTTTTTTTTTTTGCGCCGCAATGGTAAGGTATGAGGTGTGACGTGTGACGTCACAAAACTCAGAGCTTTCACGAAAAATACCCACCTCAGCACATAACTCACCGTGCGGGATTTTGTGCTTTCGCGCAAACATGGTACATTTATTCCGTCGGAGCTAGGGTGAGGTCCTTACGAGGCCCTTAAAAAAAGTTCGGCCGTTTTAATACTGGGGCAATACCTTGCCATGGCCCAGTCGAAAGAGAGCACTCAAAACGCTCTCCGGACTCATTTCTGCGTTTAATTGTGAGCCATATCGATAGTATCGATATTTTGCTACGTTTTTGTGGCGTTGCCAACCTCGTGCAATTCGTAGTTGCTGCGGGCTGCCATACCACGATATTTTGTGATATGAAATTCGTCAATTTTGATATTCAGTTTAATATTACTAGATAGTCGGCCCTCTCAGCCCTAAAAAAATTATTTTATCCAATTCCTCAATAAATTTTGTTCAGGATTGGCTAGTTTTCAGAGCTCTTTTTCATTGGATTGTTTAGATAATAGGGTTCAAACAAAAACGGCCAAAGCATAAAACGTAAATGTTGACTAAATGTGACGTCAATGTTGCTGGTCAACCAAGTTTCTTCTATGCGTATGTACTTTTTTATACCTTATTTCTTTTAATTGATGTTAAATGTTTTGTTATGATTATTATTTATGATTTTATCCTAGATTGAAATGTTTTTTACCTATTAATGCACATGTTTGTGTTTTATATATACATTTATCCCGGTTCTGATACCTATTATAGGAACCCGTGAGCTGCCAAATTTCGTTAATGTCTTTAAAACAGAGCCTGAGTAGTTTTTGCATTAATTGGATCCTGAAATTACAAACAATATCTCAAGCCCATAATATCCGTTTTCCCAAGGTATGCAGAACAGTTGCACAACAATGCTGCCTCTTCATTTCCTCATGCTGCTGAACTTTTTCCCATACAAGTCAATTGTATCTTACGGGAGCGTCGCAACAATGTATATACCACACCACAAAAATGAGGGGAAAGTCACCACGAAAACGCTCTCTTCACCACGGAAAAGAGAGAAAATTTTGAAAACCCACCACGAATTGAGAGCGAAAAATGTGAGTATTTTTTGTGCGCTAAATGAGTTTGGCGGTCATTTTCAAAAGTATATTAATATATGGAAAAATAAATGTTTCACTTTATTTGTTTTGTCGAGTGTGACTCGAACCTCAGAAACGTCATTTTAAAATATGCCGTAAATATACCGAGAAAAAAAACAGCTTAACCCCGCTCCATTTTATCAGGTTAGTAACCAGTAAAGATCAACAAACAAAACTATTTTGAACAATTTTTATATTATTTCGCTTAAAAAATAAAATTTAATAGCATTTTTTAGTAATAATTATTTGAGCCCGATATTATCACGATTGTTTTTTCAAAACATTCAAAACTATCCATGACTTAACTATCAATCGTTTGACAGCTCTTTGTTTTGGTTTTATTTGTTACGAACCTGTTTTAGTGGTGGGGCAAGGCCGGCTAAATAACATTTTTTCACACATTCTTTTTGTATTCTATAACTCCTAGCTGGTTTAGGTCGACCTCCTAATCCCCATCCTAACCTCTTCCTTTCTGTGACCTAAATTATGGGCATGGGCGTATCAAATTAACTATGATTAAATAAATAAATAATTATAAATAGTGACAATTACATATATAAGAACAAATAAATAAATATAATTAACGGTAAATAAATAAATAAATAAGTGTATACACAGATATGCGACGGCCTAGTGGGTTCTAAATTATATGTAGGTATTTAAATAGGGTTTAATAAAATCTTTGCTGGAGGACGGGGACGATATTCCGGGGTCCACTTCCAGGCCGGGCGAAGGACCATGCCGCTGTGGACAGGACGGCGGAACTGGGCACAGTTCTTAGCAAATTTACAAAAAAAAAGTGGAGTGTAAATTGGGATTTTTCTCCCCCATTGGAGCGGACTCACTTTGTTCCTTTTTTTTTCAGCTTTTCTAGTCTATCCGCATCGGTCCCGCTAGGCAGCTCTACTTCCACCTTGCTATTCGAGGAAACGTAAAACAAAAAAAATTCACTTTGAGTGATGACCACTACCCATCCTCATTTCACTCACTTTCTAATTATTTTTATTTTTATTTCTCTGAGACCCGATCCGTAACCGATTTTTTTTTGTACCGTCTTCCGCCAACGATTTTTTTGATCTGTCCTAAGCCTAAGCCTAAGCTTTATATCGTTGGTCGCCAAGCCCCATCGATCTCTTCTATTGCCCTTGAACCAGGTTCAAGGGCATGGCCTACTCTTCCTGTAACCGCTCTCTCTCCCCTTAAGCGTGTGTGGGTGAATTGGCTCCGGGACACCGGCTCTCCTCTCTCCACAAGGGAATTCAAGAGCGCGCGGATCTCATAGTTTTAAGATCGACCGACTAGGGGGCGCCACTATCCGCTCACCACTATCCCTTCAACCTCGGCCTTGCCACCCTGTCTGGAAACCTTCCTCTCTACCATGCAAATTATTTCAATCGATTACCCTGAAATGCAACACCTAGTGAAAATTCGGGGGACCATGGACGCGAAGAATTATTCACCAACATTGAAGGACTTATAAGTTTGCGTCGGCCTTGCCTACAGCGCCCCAACGTAGGCTTACACCCACTCTTCTACCAGTTAATACGTGAGTACATCTTGGTGTTAATTTTGCTCCTACAATTTTAGGTCTTTGGCGTGAAAAATCCCCACCGGCTTCCCCGCCAGGTCTTCAAGTTCGTAGGCATTATTTCCAACCGGGCGTACGACTCGGCACTTCAGGAACTTCCGGGCGAACTTAGCGTTGTAGCTCTTCCCAAAGTCACTGATGGTGAAGTTGCGCCTGTATACTTCTTGCCCAGGTTTGGCGAAGAATATTCGGGCCCGTTTGTTGTAGCGCTGGCTGCTGCGCTCATACGCGTGGTGAAGGTTGGCCTTAATACGTTCCCGGATGATGTGGCATTTATCCGCGGGGTCCAATGCGTGCACCTCATGCTCCGTCAGCGACTGCAGCTTCCTCGCCAACTTATAGCAGTTCCCATTAAGGAACATTTGCTGTCCAAAAACTGCAAAAAACGGCGTCACGCCTGTTGCTTCGTGCACTGAGTCACGGATCGACACTTCAATCTCCGGTAGGTATATATCCCAGTCTCGATGATCCTTCTCTAAATACGTCCTGATTGCAGTTAATATTGTCCGGTTCACCCTCTCGGCGGCATTGCTCTGTGGTGAGTAGACTGCTGTGCGCAGATGTCGGACGCCAAAGGTGCTGATCATGTCCTGGAAGATCTTCGACAGGAACTGTTTTCCGTTGTCGGAGTGGATCACCTCGGGCACCCCAAACTTGTAGAACACTTCCTGTACTAGGAATTGAACTACGTTCGCCGCGGTCGCCTCTCTCATCGCTTTCAGGAAGGTGAATTTAGAGAAGTGGTCTACGACGACAAATATCCAGGCTTGTCCCCTTTTTGACCGGGGATACTTTCCCAGAAAATCGATGTATAATTTCTGGAACGGCCTCTCCGTTACGACTTCCTGACCGATCCCTACCTGGCTTCGATAATTGGGAGCTTTGGACTCCTTACATGCATCGCAATTCCGGACATACTCCCGCACTTGTGTCGTCATCGCTGGCCAGTAGAATTGCCTTCTAAGCCGATGCAGGGTCTTCTTAAGTCCGCCGTGTCCAGCTGTGTGGTCTTCGTGGGCCTTGGAGATGAGAGTTTCCGTCAGTGACGCGGGAATCCATAATTTCCAAATGGACCCTTCCACTTGGTCGTCCATTTGCGTGAAGGCCATCCGCTTGAATATCAAATCCCCTTCCACTCGTAAGTCGGGCAACATGTCTTGATTCTTGCCGATTTCTCCTTTCAGCTCCTGATATTCTGAAGACTCAAACTCTGTCGTCTGGAACCCGAGGATCTCCGTTGGATCTATCACCACTTCGTCGATGCAGCGTGAGAGCGTATCCGCCACGACGTTATCGGCTCCTTTCCGGTGTTCGATCCCAAAGTCAAACCTCTGCAGTCGCAATGACCACCTCGCAAGACGTCCGTTTAGGTCCTTCAACGACATGAGCCATTTCAGGCTGGCGTGATCCGTGATAACCGTGAAGGGCATCAATTCAACGTATGGTCTGAATTTCTCAATGGCCAACACCGCAGCTAAACACTCTTTTTCCGTTACAGAATAATTTAGCTGATGCTTGTTTAACTTGGCGGAGAAGAATGCCACCGGACGCTCGGCTCCTTCGACGTCCAACTGAAACAACACCGCTCCCACTCCGTAATTCGATGCGTCGCACTGTACGTAGAAAGGCTTCTTGAAATCCGCATGACTCAATACCGGAGCCGTGGTGAGTGCCTTCTTCAGGGATCCTATCGCCGTTTCGGCCTCCGTGGACAGGAAAAACTTTCCACGCGGATGCTTCTTCAGCGCGTCTGTCAGCGGCACTGCAATGGAAGCGTAATCCTTGATGAAGCGCCTGTACCATCCTGCGGTTCCTAGGAAGCTTCTTAGTTCCTTCACTGAACTCGGATTGGGAATCCTTTGAATGGCCAAAACTCTCTCAGGATCCATCTGCAACGTGCCACCTCCGATGATAAATCCCAGGTATTTCAGGGACCTAAAGCAAAATTTTGATTTTTGTAAGCCTATTGTTAAATTTGCTTTTCGCAGGCACTGGGCCACCAACCGAAGGTACCGGAGATGTGTCTGGAAATCGGGAGCTATCACCAAGAGATCATCTAGATAGACGAAAACGTTTGATCTCAACTGCGTCGGGATCACTTTGTCCATCACCCTGCATAGCCTCTGTGCAGCGTTACACAGACCGAAGGGCATCATTACAAACTGGTACAGCGGACGACCTGGAACGGTGAACGCGGTACACTTTCTGCTTTCTGGATCCAGCTTAATTTGCCAGAAAGCAAATTTGAGGTCTACACTGGAAATGTAGTGCGTCTGGTCGATCCTGGACAGTATTCCCTCGATGCTAGGAAGAGGGTATGCGTCTTTGACGGTGAGTTGGTTCAGCTTTCGCGCGTCCAAACAAAATCTGTTTTTGTTAGGCTTCCGCACTACCGTCGTCCTGTTGCTCCACGGACTATCGCTAACCTCTATCACTCCCAGTTCCAGCATCTTGTCCACTTCGGTCCAGACCACTTCCTGCATCGCTGGGGATTGAGGGTAGTGTCGATCTTTAAACGGCTCCGCGCCCTCTACCAACTGGATCCGATGCTCCTCTACCGTCGTTGACCCTAATCCGGCATCTTCGTAAGTTAGGAACTCCTTCTTCACCTCCTCTAGTTCTTCAGCTTCTTTCTCTTCCAGGTCCCACGCGTCCACATGTACGTTCTCCTGATGGTCTTCGGCATATTGGCTGATCTGTGACATCTGGACTTCGGATATCTTGGCATCGCTGGGCGAACTTGGATAAGCTCCGAGGACTGTGGGAGCCAACGCGAACGACCTCCAAAAATCGACACCCAAGTACATGACTTGCTCCAGGTATGGACAGATGTAAAAGAGAATGTCCTTGCTGATTCCTTTGTACTCCACAGGGATTCTCGCCTTGCCGATTATGGTCCGGTCCTCTCCTGCGGCGGTTTTGACGATCGAGACATAGTTGTCCATCTCCACCCCGAGGTCGTCTAGGAGCTCACGACTGCCCTTTCCGAGGACACTTACGGATGCCCCAGTATCCAGGAGTCCGGAAATCTTCCGTCCTAGGATTTGCACCTTGGCAAAAACCCTTGGGTCACGTCCTGCTCCACGCCTGACTGCTTCAGCCACCTCCTGGCGAGTCTGTCTCCTTTGCCGGAAGCGTGCCCGGGCCTTCTGGAGTCTACGGCTGACACCTCGCATTCCACTCAGCTGATGTCCGTCAAAGATCCGATTTCGGACTTGTGTATATCTCCTCATCCTCTCTTCGGCCGGTAAGAATTTTAAACTATATTTTTCTACACTACTTGGGTTAATATGCTTAATTTTTACAAACTCCAACGGCGTATCCTTCACTTTCTCGCGGGCCTTCGTCCCGAGCTCTGATGTCCCGCCTTTATCAGGCCCGTTCTTGCGTTTCCCGAGCAGTTGGGACACTTCGGCGTGTACGTTTCGGGCTTTCCGCAGAGGTAACAGAATACTCTGCGTTCCTTTGCCATACACTCTCGGAACCCGTGATCAACTTCTCCGCAATTCCAGCAACCCAGCCTCGGCTTCGCTGTCAGGTGGGTTTCCTCAACCATCAACTCTTCCTTTCCTTCCAACAGCTCCGAATCTGGCTCTATCTCCTCGACTCGCTTCCCGGATTGTTGGAATTTTGTCGTCGGGCGAAAAGCTGACCTTCGCTCACGTCTGCGTAAATGGTATTCCACCTCTACACACTCTTCCCTCAGCTGCTCCAGGTTCCGGACTCGGATCGCGTACACATACCGAGCGATCTCCTCCTCGAGTCCCTTCTTGACGACTCTGACCATCTCGGCATCCGCACGGAATCGGGTCACCAACTCGTCCTTTAAGTCCTCCCAGACTTCTGGAGGCCTCTCTCGGACAAACTGCCAGTACCACTCGGCAGCCCGTCCTCTCACCAGATGGTGAAAATTATTGAGGACTTCGTCCCACGAGCGTCGACTCTGCCTCTGGAGAAATTCGACCCGAAAGACAAAATCCTCCACCGTCAGTTTGGCTGGGTCTGGGTCGCCGTCGAAATGGATGTCCCACTTGTCGACGCGTCCCCATCTCGGCTCTCTCCACTCGTCTCGCCTCTCGTAGGGCGTCGTGAATCGCCGAGCTCCGCCGTCTCCTGCTGGTTCCCGTTCCAGTTCCATCGGTCTCGTTTCCAGACCGCCATCTTCCACCATGTGGGCCCAACTTTGGCTCTGTCTCTCCGGCTTCCTTGGAGGCGCTTGTGGAATATGCTCCTGTTGTTCCACGGAACCTTTGGGTCTGGTGCCGGTACTCTGTCTTCGCCATTCTGGAGCCGCTGGACCGCCTTCTCTGCCATTTGGACCATTCTCCCAGCCCAGATCATGGATCAATTCTCCCTTCTGGTGCAGGGGCGTCATTGCCTCCGTTATGGCACCCATCAGCTCCATAAATCCACGACGGATCTCTTCTTGCAGCGTCCTGCTGATGGTGTCCGCCATAGCACCTCTCTGCGTCTCCTGCGCTTGTGCTATGGCGACGTTTATGCCCGAAAGAATTTCCGACGGCAATTCTTTTGGGGTCTTCGGCGGGTTCCAGCTGTCGTTCTCGCCTCCTTCCGCGCCCTGACTATCTCCTCCTCGCATCTGTTCAGGCAGGTTTCCTGACGGAGGAGTCCTGTGAGTCATTTTCCCTTTTGACCGTAAGTTGTAGCTGCTCATAAACTTTTCTAACTACCTAACTTTCCTTTCTTTCACAGATAACTACCTAACTCCAACAAAACTCAACACAAAAAAAACAAATAAAAAAACTGCAAGATCAACCACAAGAGGGGAAAGTAACCACAACTGCTACTGGAGCCATCTGCACTTGGTTCCCTACGTCTTTGCTTGTCCAACGTCTACCTTCTTAGTCGCGAGCGCTGTTGACTTCTCATCTTCTACAGAAGATTAAGTGTCAAGGGCGCTCACTCTTCTACCTAGCTGCTTCTGTCCCACTACTCTACTGAAGGATATCCTCGGGATCCTGTAGATGCTCCAGGTGCATCGCGTGACCGACTAAATGTCCCCACGGGCCACCTACAGCAAAAAATCTCTACGAGATACTACCTTCCCGCCTCCTCCAGCGGTAAGTAGGGGAAGCAGCACAAACAAAAACTACTCGACCTTAACTAACTTTGGGTATTTTTTCTTTCCAGGCTCTCTTTCGTCCACCAGGCAACGGGTCGGTTGCTAACTGGCTTGAGGATTCTCCTCCGTCAGTGCCAACCTCACCCCCTTGAGAGCTCCAGCTTCCCTCTGTCAGATAAGTTTAAACACAAACTACAAAAAACAATTTACTTTGTGGATTCCTACATTTTCAGATCCCCCAGTGCCGTGCATCTGCGAGCCAACCTTCACAGCTCCTCCCAGGCCACCGGAACACAGACGGACCCTTACTGCAGACTACCACTCGAGATCGTTCCTCTCGGCTGGACATTTATAACCTCCTCGACTTTTGTGATTCGCAGCCGTACTCTCCCACTTTCGTGTTCGAGAACGGACTGCGACTCACAAATTTGTCTTAGATTGGGCGCCATTATCGTTACGAACCTGTTTTAGTGGTGGGGCAAGGCCGGCTAGCCAGTCATCTCAGGAATAGGTTTTTTCCAGGCCCCCAGGTCGCACAACAAACCAGCTGTTCGGGCATCTCGAACAAATATGACAACAAAACGACGATTCAAAACAAACCAACGGACTTTCTCTCCGACGCGGAACAACTACAAATCTCCTCTTTTCCTCAAGTGTAGCGGCCGATCTCCATTTCGCCGCTGTGGTCCCCTTTCCCCCCCCATACTAAACACACTAGCAATTCATATTAAACGTTATAATTTCACTTTAAATAACATTTTTTCACACATTCTTTTTGTATTCTATAACTCCTAGCTGGTTTAGGTCGACCTCCTAATCCCCATCCTAACCTCTTCCTTTCTGTGACCTAAATTATGGGCATGGGCGTATCAAATTAACTATGATTAAATAAATAAATAATTATAAATAGTGACAATTACATATATAAGAACAAATAAATAAATATAATTAACGGTAAATAAATAAATAAATAAGTGTATACACAGATGTGCGACCTGGGGGCCTGGGAAAAACCTATTCCTGAGATGACTGGCTAGCCGGCCTTGCCCCACCACTAAAACAGGTTCGTAACATATTTTAAATAAGATGAAGTGTGATTGCGGATTTGACATTCAAATATACCGGCAGACCCTCAAAAATATACCAAACAATACCACACAAATATATACTAACGCTTAAAAAATACCGTCGAAATACCGAGGAAAGAACGAACTTAACCAATTTAGGCCCCTACAAACTTTAATTTAGCCGCGTTTTGTAGATTCATCCTTACTCTTTACTTACAAAATCAAATGACCATGATATCTTTCAACTGCGCTGAAATTTTTGTAGATTAGATTGTTTTATTTTTTCGTTCAGTATTTTTTGTGAACTGACAGTTGGACTAGCAAAGTTCGAAACGGTATTTAACAGTAAAACGGTAGATTTTCATAAAAGATACTCTAAACGACGTACAGTGTAATTTTCTGAGTGAGCGCTGTGGATAATTTCAATTTACGCATCTGCTCGAACATTTTTAAAGGGTTTCGAAAATGGAATATTTTTTAAAAACGTTTGAAGTTGACCATTTTTTCAGTGAGCAGCATTTACTGAATTTTTATGTACATGCTGCATCTTTCAGGTCGTAAACTATAGTCTCTATGTTTAGGTGTATTAATTGGTAAGATTGTTCATTAATACAAAAATTGGATTTTTGGAATAAAACTATAATGTAGAAAATTACTTTCTCCAAGTTCTCGCGAGATTTTATTTTTATACTCGTTTGAAAAAATTTTAAGTGTACACATTATAATATATTAATATTGGAATAATCATTAATATTAAATAACTGTTGAAGAACACAATCAAAAGCTGCATTAAAGCTATCAAATAGCTCGTCACAAGTTGATTCGATGATTTTGTCATCAAAAATATAGCTGATAGTTTTGTGGAAAAAACTGTCAACGAATTTGGATTTTAATTTTTTGTTTGTTTTACGTCTTAAGACCATAATACTGAGACTTTTTATTTAACTTATCGACCAGATGGTTGCTTTGAAAAAACATCTATATTTTTGTGTGATAAACGGAACTAAAATTTACTTTGAAAATATTAATCACAGACACCATTTTTAAAATACTATTTTTCCAATACAAATTATAAAAATGATTTTTTTGTATTTTTGCATATTAACATATAATTTTTATAGAGAATTTACAAGGTTACAAACAGCTCCTAAGTTGCACTACCCGACACCATTTATTTTTGATACATTTGGGGCTTTAAGCATGCTTGGTAATCATATTTTTATACCCGTACTCAAAAAAGAGTTAAGGGGTATATTAGATTTGTGGTAAAAGTGGATGTGTGTAACGCAGAGAAGGAAACGTTTCCGACCCCATAAAGTATATATATTCTTGATCAGCATCAATTACCAAGTCGATATAGCCATGTCTGTCTGTACGTCCGTCCGTCCGTCCGTGTATTTCAAAATTTCGACCCGCCTCCTTCCGCCCACACAAAGGACGATAATCTGTGGCATGCACAATTTTAAAGATACGATAAAACTAAAAACGCAGTATCATAGAGAATGCCCATATCTACCAGATTGCCAAATCTGAATCAGATCGGATTATAATTATAGCCAGAATGAAGAAATTAATTTTCTGTTGCTTTCCCCGCCCCCTCCGACAAGAAAACTAACCACTGATTCTTTTTCTCGCTCGCACACTCTGCCGCGTTCAGTACGCGAGCAACCCCTAGCGGAGGAGATGTAGAATCTAAATGGTACATGTCGAATATACATGTTAGATGTAGAATATACATAGTATATGTAGATGTAGATAACAGATGTAGCAAAAAAATGTAATATGTAAAATTTTTTTTTTATTCTAAAATTAAAAAAAATTATAAGCTCAAAAATGTATATACTGACTGAGTACGGGTATAAGTAGAGTCGCGTCCCCAGAAGCGACTCACACGTTCCTTCTCGTTTTTTTTCCATAGATTTAAAAATTTTTTTTTTTAATTTAAAAATAATCTTATGTTTTACTTGCTTTTTGCTTAATTTTTTCACATAACTTAAGTATCTTACATATGGTCGTAATAACTTTGCCATTCTGAAAATCAGCTATAATTGAGACCCAAACACTTTGTAATTTCAGCTTAACGCCTGGGAAATATTAAGCTTTCTTACGCAAAATAATTTTTTTTTGATTTGATTGATTTTGATTTTGTTTCAAAATTTCAACGATGTCTTCGAAACTGTTGGCCACATTTAAAACCAATGTAGGCTCGTCTTAAAGACAGTATTGTTGGCTATGGATATTTTTCTTAACTGAATACGGTAAACCGTTTTTATTTTATTCCACTATATGTACGGGAAGTGCCTTAATTGTGGACATAACGGTATATCGCGTGAACTCGTCCTGATAGGAAAAAATCAAGTACATATTTAGATTCAGCGTCCCCAATTTCCTTAAAAATAACATTCAGTTTTTAATCAACAAAAACCTTGTTCTCTTGAATAATCTATGTATTATAATTAAGGCTTTTGTATCTGAGGTCCGAGCTCCAGGTCCAGTGTTCACAGTATTCAAAGCCATTAAATATACTTACATAGTACATATACATATAGCAGCATAAAATAACATGTTGGTTTAGAGCAAAAGCAATGCGCTTCCAGCTATTGATCTGTGATTATATCGGTCTATTCCTAACATTATTCATCAATATTAACTTATATACATACATATGTATGTACTATGGGCAGGCACCCAGCGCACTCGCTACGCTCATAAGCTGGGGATTGGGCTCACTGAACCGAACACTATTTACCACAGTACATTTTTTGATGCCAAAATGGTTCTTTCTGCCAGTCATGCATGATTTAAGGATTATATTTTTTACATTAGGGGATAAACGGTCAATGAGAGAATTTGGCGAATCAACAGTTGTGGATAAATGTATTGGCAAATTTATACAGCCAGCAGCAACTTCTCCATTGCCTATATATACAAATTGTTTGGAAAATGTTTCAGCCGATTGATCTTTGTATTTGTAGTTGTACGCTCATGTTTGTTTAAAGCTTGACTTTTCACACAATACGCCACGATGACGATGACGATGATTTCAAGTTAGCGTTTATCTCATCTTTGAAGGACGGAAGTGTTTGTCTAAAATCTCCTGAGAGTCCCGCAGAATAAATCGTCCCTATTTTCTTTTTTTTTAATCTTTAAGTTTCCTGTTCAATCGAGAGAAATACCATTGAACATTTTTTTTTAATGTTGCACACTGCGACTGAGATATCTTGAACATTTAAACGCAGCTTAAATGATGAATGAGCTCTTCTTCCTCCATCCAATAAATTTGCAACAATTACAATCTGACTCATGTTAAAATTTGAGCGCATGATTAATAATGTCAATTAGTCCATAGCAAAAATCAGCACTTTTGGATAAGCGGAATACTCAATATCTGCCTCGCAGATGAATGCGAAATGAAGAAACGAAGCGGATGTAAATACTCGATGTACTTGTGTTTGTCTCTATTCAAATTATCGTTGTTGATTTCGTTCATCCCGTACCTCTTGTATTTCAGATTTACGCAATTGCGACATGCTCACATGCATATTTTCATTATCTCTTGTCGGATTCGTTCTTCTAGTCTTTCTGCTCCACTATTTCGCATGTTAGTGGTTAGCTGTCGACTATCAATTCTACATTGCGTACACTCCAAATATTGAAAGATTTGCATCTAAAACCCGAGCTGTTGATACTGCCCTCTCTAACCTGCGATAGACAGCATCTATACGTTGGCTGTTCGGCAGAAGCATGCAATATACAAATGTGAGCTTCGAGATCGTAGAGGATCTCCTGAAAAACTTATAGTTAGAACTATCTACAGCAGATACCTGAAAATTTAAATTGCAAGCAATTACTGTACCGATTTAACAAATGTATTCGAACCCCTCTATTTCCACAATGCGATTATGAACAAATTGATAAATAATTGCATGAACTACACAGAAATTGGAATGGAAATCAGTGGTCTATACATCATATATTAAATATTGGTCTATTTGAAAATTGCGACTGGGTCGCTTCTTCAATAACCTTTAAATTTTCATTTTCTGAACTCTTTTTGAATTAATAGATTCCAAAATTGTCCAGAAAAACGCCAGTCAATTCCCATTCAAACGAATTATTACGTACTGCCGATACGGTTGTTATTTGAAAAGCAGTTCGCATGACCTTAACATAGCGAAAAAATAAATGAAATAAATTTTTTGAATCAATTACGCGAATACCCTCTAAAAGGGTATCTAATTTTGAATTGAAATTGAATAATCAAAGCTACTAATGCGGATTGAATTCTGGTTAATTATATTACATCATTGGGATTCAATTCGCATTCGTTTATCATTCGTTCATATCAGTCGGCGCAATGGAGTCCAATTTAATATTCTGTGTTCTATTCGGAATATTTATAGCTTCTTCATTCGATTTTAATGTAAATATATCCTAACACTTTTTGTCCAACAATTCCGGCATTTATTTGAGTCCACAGGATGCGGTAGTATTCAAGTTTACAAACGTCGTTTGTGAAAGCTTCAACAAATCCTGGTTCGTGTTCCACAACTGTCGTCTGAAGGCTGTCAGTCGCAGCAAAGTGCTCCTGAACATGAATGCGACGATATTGCATCCGACCAACGATATGAAAAGTCATGTGCAGATGTTTAAAAGAGAAAGTGGATATAAGCCCTGGCTTTTCGACGTTAACTTTGATGTCTGTCTGTATTTTCGAAGGCATAATATCCCCTTTTTTTCTATAGTCCATGGGCTCTTTAAAGAGTTTACCAACTTTAATCACACCTGCCCCTACGTGGTAAGATTAAACGGATTCATCTCAAAACTTCAACATCTTAAATTCTCATTACAGGGTTTAATAACTATCAAAGATTTGTATCTTAAACCCGAGCTACTGCGTCTTCCCCTTCCAACAGGGGATTATCTGTTGTCGTTGAAGTTTTATTACGATAAGAAGCATCAATTTGATATGAACATTAGTTATACGTTTGTCGAGGATCTATTGAAGAGTTAATAACCTGCTATCCCTATCCCTATCTCTAAAAGTTCACAGATGTCTGTTATTGAAGTTGTAGAAAAATTAAATTTCAAGATTGTATTTTACAGCGTTTTAAAATTTGCCGCAGTCAATTGCAATTTTTGTCCATCTGGGAATACACGTTTATTGAGAGTATTTTTGAACCAACAATTGTGGACAAATCTATTGTCCCTTCTTTACAGCCAGTAGCAACGCTTCATCTATATGATAATTGTTTAAAAAATGTTTCAGCCGATTGATCTTTTAGCTTGACTTTTTCCACATTACGCCATAGTGACGATGATTTCAAGCAAGCGTTTATCTCATTTGCGTACGTTAAACCTGGAAGGACGGAAGTATTTGCCTGAAATCACCTAAGAGTCCCGCAGAATAAATTGTCGTTATTTTTTAAATCTTTAAGTGAACAGGACAACGCCTCAATAGAATGTTTGTGTGCCATAGTACATTCATCACAAATAATAATTTTGCATTGTATTAGTCTTGTCTTTGTCATTGGCCCGAACTTTCCGGCCTATTCGTTTACCCTTCTCCAGATCTAACTTCGCGCAGCACGAACCTTTCCGTGTTCTTTGCAATAATTACAATTTCTATTACAATACAATATCTCCCGAAATATCCCTTGATACAATTTACGTAACGTTTACCATCACCTTAAACCTTTATTTTCTTCCTCTATCATATTTTTCTTTAAGTACGTCTATACCTAGTATAGTTCTTAGTTAGCAGTTAATTGTTGAATAATTGAAATAAATTAATAAAATACCAAAAAAAATGTTTAGATTGGATAAATTTACCCAGAATGAAGAAATTCATTTTCAGTTGCTTACCCCGCCCGTCTCTGCGCATTAGACGCTACTTATTCTCTTTCTCACACACTCTTCCCTATGCAGTGCGCTACCTTTCGCAGAGAAGATGTATAATCTACATTTCATATGTAGAATAAACATATCAGATTAAAATGACTGAAGGGTCAAAAATATGTACAATATAACATTTCTTTAATTCTACATAAATCATAAGCTCACATATTTATATACTGACTGAGTACGGGTATAAAAGTAGAGTCGAGTCCACAGAATGGGACTCACAACGTTCCTTATCGTTTTCTATGTTGCACAATGCGTCTGGGTTGTTTTGAATATGCAAAGGCAGCTTTAATGATGAATGAGCTGTTCTGCCTCCATCCAAAAAATTTGATCCATTGCAGCCTAGCTATTATTGTAGCCGCAACGTGCATCTACGCGATTGGGGAGTGCGCGTTCGAGATCCACACGATTTATGGCCTCGTCGCCCATCAAGTATATTTGTCCTTTAATTTTAAAGTATTAATTGAGTTGGCGACCAATTCTAAAGTATTGTGAACTATTTCGTTTTCACTTAGAAGCATGAATTGAATGTAAGAGTGGACTTCAGGAACATGTTTGAATCGGAAATTGGTTTAATGCTTCTGATGGCGTCTCAGGGGACTTTTCCTGATACGCAACTCATACCATCTGACTCATGTTGAAATTTGAAAGCATGACAATGTGGACATCCTTTGTCCGGAAGCGGACGTAAATTCTCGATGTACTTGTGTGCGTTGACTACCATTTTCTCTGAGAGTGTCAATTTGTTCATCTCGTGCCTCTTATATTTCAGATTTACGCAATTTTCCTTATCTCTTGTCGGATTCGTTCTTTCGTTCTTTCTGCTGTACATATTTATTGGTTTATTCGTTCGATGACCAATGGCATTGTTCACTATAAAAAACACAATTTCTGTTCGTACTTTTGCCAAAATAGTCTTAAGCCTTTGCAAAGATTTCTTAAACCTTAACCACACTTGTCCGTATTTATAATTAAGAGGGACACCAAATATTGAAGGATTTGTATTTAAGACCAGAGATGTTGAATCTGCCCTTTCTCACCTGGGATTACATGATGTCTCGTGGAGGATCTCCTGAAGTGCTAAAAGCAGATCCCTGAAAATCCACAGATAGAACAGTAGCAAATTTAAATTGCAAGCAATTACTGTACCGATTTATCAAATACATTCAAATCTCTCTAATATCATCAAATTGCAAAATAATTGCATGAGGTTTACAGAAAATGGAACGGAAATGAGTGTTCTATACATCATTGCTTTATTAAAAAATTGTGAGTGGGTCGCTTTTTCAATGACCTTTAACCTTTCATTTTCTGAACTCTCTTATTTCAATAGCTTCCTAAATTCCACAATTTGCCAGGACATTTATCTGACAGGCATTTTCAATTCCAACGAATTATTACATGCTGCTGACACCGTTGTTTTTTGAAAAGCAGCTCGCATGACCTTCACATCGAATAAAGATATTCTGAACAGCAAACAATTTCAGCCGTTTATCTATTCCATATAAATAAATAAAAAAATATGAACATAGTCGGCGCAATGGAGTCCAAACTAATATTCTGTGTTCTATTCGGAATATTTATAGCTTCTTCATTCGATTTTAATGTAAATATATCCTAACACTTTTTGTCCAACAATTCCGACATTTATTTGAGTTCACAGGATGCGGTAGTATTCAAGTTTACGAACGTCGTTTGTGCGAGCTTCAACAAATCCTGGTTCGTGTTCCACAACTGTCGTCTGAAGGTTGTCAGTCGCAGCAAAGTGATCCTCAACATGATACGGATACATCTCAAAACGTCAACCTCTTGAATTCCCATTTCAGGGCGCAATAATTGTCAAAGATGTGTATCTAAGACCCGAGATAATGCGTCTTCCCATGCCAACGGGGGATTATCTTTTGTCGAGGAAGTGGTATCACCATAATAAGCATCAAACAGATATAAATATTAGTTTTTCGCTCGTCTAGGATCTACTGAAGAGCTAATGGTGGGAATTATCCTTATCCCTCTCCCTGAAAGTCCACAAGAAACATAAAAAAGTTTTCTAAATACTTTAAAGATTTTTAAAACAATTGATCATCTCTAAACTTCGCCTGATCGAAGAATGAAACAAATCTGTAATATATCTCTATAAATAAATACCAATACAAAAAAGCTATTTGGATAAATAGGCGCTCAAAACATGTAAATCTCGAAAAATGTCTAACCATCTCTTAAATAGGACACGCAAGAAAACAAAAAAACAAAACAAAAAATGTCAGAAAAGGGTTTAGTTTAGGGATATATTAGTTTTCTGGTCGAAGTGGATGTGTGTGGCATCCACAATTTTGAAGATACGAAAATACCTAAAACGCAGAATCGTAGAGAATGACCATATCTCAGATCAGATCCTTATTATAGCCAGAATGAAGAAATTTAAATTTCTGTGGCTTTGCTACCCCCTGTAGCGCTGCAGCGCTACGTTTTCTCTTTTTATACCCGTACTCAAAAAAGAGTTAAGGGGTATATTAGATTTGTGGTAAAAGTGGATGTGTGTAACGCAGAGAAGGAAACGTTTCCGACCCCATAAAGTATATATATTCTTGATCAGCATCAATAGCCGAGTCGATAGAGCCATGTCTGTCTATCCGTCTGTCCGTCTTGTTTGACGCCTGGATCTCAGAAACTATAAAAGCTAGAGGAACCAAATTTTGTTTCCAGACTCATGTCATATCACACTGCTACAAGTGCATTTCAAAATTTCGCCCCGCCCCCTTCCGCCCCCACAAAGGACGAAAATCTGTGGCAGCCACAATTTTAAAGATACGATAAAACTAAAAACGCAGTATCGTAGAGAATGCTCATATATACCAGACTGCCGAATCTGAATCAGATCGGATCATAATTATAGCCAGAATGAAGAAATTAATTTTCAGATGCTTCCCCTGCCCCCTCCGGCAAACAACATCGCAACTCATTTTCCTTCTCGCTCGCACACTCTGCCGCGTTCAGTGCACGAGCAACCCCTAGCGGAGGAGATGTAGAATCTAAATGGTACATGTAGAATATACATGTTAGATGTATAATATAAATAGTATATGTAGATAACAGATGTAGCAAAAAAATGTACTATGCAAAATTTTTTTTTTTTTAAATTCTAAATAATTATATGCTCAAAAATGTATATGCTGACTGAGTACGGGTATAAGTAGACTCACACGTTCCTTCTCGTTTTATTTATTTATATGGAATAGATAAACGGCTGAAATTGTTTGCTGTTCAGAATATCTTTTTCCGATGTGCAGGTCATGCGATCTGCTTTTAAAATAACAACGGTGTCCGGAAAGTCATGGAAATTGGTGGAATTAAGGAAGCTATTGAAATAAGAGAGTTCAGAAAATGAAAATATAAGGGTCATTGAAAAAGCGACCCACTCACAATTTTTAATAAAGCAATATTTAATATATGATGTATAGAGCACTGATTTCCATTCCATTTTCTGTAAACTTCATGCAATTATTTTGCAATTTGATGATATTAGAGAGATTTGAATGTATTTGATAAAGCGGTACAGTAATTGCTTGCAATTTAAATTTGCTACTGTTCTATCTGTGGATTTTCAGGGATCTGCTTTTAGCACTTCAGGAGATCCTCCACGAGCTTGAAACACACATCCTATCAAATTGCAGCCTTCTGCCGAAGGGCCATCGTATAGACATCATGTAATCTCAGGTGAGAAAGGGCAGATTCAACATCTCTGGTCGTAAATACAAATCCTTCAATATTTGGTGTCCCTCTTAATTATAAATACGGACAAGTGTGGTTAAGGTTTAAGAAATCTTTGCAAAGGCTTAAGACTATTTTGGCAAAAGTACGAACAGAAATTGTGTTTTTTATAGTGAACAATGTCATTGGGTCATCGAACGAATAAATCAATAAATATGTACAGCAGAAAGAACGAATCCGACAAGAGATAAGGAAAATTGCGTAAATCTGAAATACAGGAGGCACGGGATGATCGAATTGACACTCTCAGAGAAAATGTTAGACAACGCGCACAAGTACATCGAGAATTTACGTCCGCTTCCGTTTTTTATTTAACCATTCATCTACGAGCCAGATATTGAG